GGGAGAGGGGGTAAGGGCAAGTCGTTTTGGAAAGCCGGACAGTACTTTTTCCGGACCCCATCGCAGAGGACCAGGGCCGAGGTCCCATTAGCAAGGAGGATCGGATCCAATGGCTGAATGTGGACGGGTAGTATGCAGAGATGCGGAAAAGCAGTTCAATCTCGATTCCCTGCACCTTTCGACAAACACGTCCAGATTCAGGCATTGGATCCGATCCTCTTTGCTAGTGGGACCACGCCCCAGATGCTATTGGAAAACCCTTTGGAAAATCAGTTGAGCCAATCCTTGCCTGTTCCCGTTGGCACTCGCTTGTTTCTTTTTTTTTTTTTTTTTTTTTTTTTTTTGGTGGCACTCTTCGTCTCTGTTGGCTGCGCTGCCTTTTCCGAGACTTTTCTAGGAACGACATGCCCTCCCCCCCCTACCCTCTAGAGTCGGTACAAAATTGCGGCGAGGAATCCTCCCGTGAGACTTTTTTATTTCTTTTATTTTTTTAAGGCTAATTCTTTAAGCCCAACCAATTCAATTATCTGTCGAATCTCGACAGGACGACGGTTCAGGCATTTTTTATTGTCCTTTTAGTATCTGCGGACTATGGTTCAGATCTCACTACACTGGACTATTCATTTTCCACCCTCGATTACGAAGATCAACGGTCCGAAATGAACAATAGGCGCGAGTGGGATCTCGCCCATAATATGTGAAAACACTGTAAACACGAAACGATGTTTTTCCAAGCCGCAATCTTCGGTCTGTGGGGTCCCTTTGAAAGGGTTTGCGGAAGAAATTTCATCTTTTCCAGGACATTTGCGGCAGCCTGTGGGGTCCTGGAAGTGTGAGGCGAAATTGCGAGGAGAATATAGTTTTCCTTTTATTAAAAAAATAAATTAAAGAAACAGTTTTGCGGCAAAGTTTTTCCTTTCCCCGGTCCTGTGGGGTCCTTGCCTTACTGTGAGGAGCTCGGCCTCCCATTTCCTTTTTTTTTTTTTTTTTTTTTTTCCATTATTGTAATACATTGTTTTTGTTGAGCCAATGGACTGGGATAGTCCTCGAATGCCTGAATCTGGATGTGTTTTATGCAGAGATGCAGAGAAGCAGTTCAATCTCGATTCCCTGCACATCTCCAACGTTTCTCCAAAAACTCGTCCAGATTCAGGCACTCGATCCGATCCTCTTTTCTAGAGAAGTTCGATGGCTAAATACCCTGGATACTCGTGATCGGTATTAGTGGAATCTATGACCAACATGGGTGTGAGTGCGAGAGCGAGGGGGGTTGTGTGTGGTGCGTGGGAGAGTGTTGGCCATAGCTACTGCTGCTACTCGATGAGGGGTGGGGAAAGATGAGAAAGGGAGGCGCAGCTACTGGCAGGTCTCGGTCTTTGTGTTAGCAAGACGTCCACTGGCGGCCCCAACCGTATACCCTTAACATTAGGGGCAAGGGGGAACATGAAATCTCCCCTTCACAGTGAGAGGAAACGATGCTTGCAGGGGTCCCCTCTAGACAGCCTTAGGAGTAGTAGGTAGTGAAAGGCAAAAACAGAAGTTGAGAGAAGAATATAGAAAAAAAAATAATAAAAAAAAAATCCTTACTGTATCTTAACGGCGATTACTCTAGCAACCTGCATGTATCTGACCGCAATTGCAGCCAGAAATAATTCAAATAAGTAAAAACAGTCCTCACTGTATCTTAACGGCAATTACGGCCAGACGTGCATGTATCTGACCGCAATTGCAGCCAGAAATAATTCAAATAAGTAAAAACAGTCCTACGAATGTGCCCGAAGTCGAGTGAAATGACTATAAACAGTCCTCCTACGAATGTGCCCGAAGTCGAGTGAGAGGACTCTGCTTCTGACCGCAATTACACTCAGAAATAAGAAAGAGGGTCGTAGTGAGAAGTATGCCCTTAGTCGAGCGATGGGCTGGGGAGAGATCCGGGGGCTAGCTCCCACTTACACGAATTAAGCACAGATCGAGAGATAGCACAGATCAACGGCTAGAATCTCGTAATCCGTGCAAGTGGGACCTTGCCCCGCGTTTGGTTGGTCTTCCCCTGGGGCGTGGTCCAACGAGCAAAAGAGGGTCGGATCGAATGCCTTAATCTGGACGAGTTTATGGAGATGTGCAGGAAATCGAGATTGAACTGCTTTTCTGAATCTGTGCCTAAAACGCATCCAATAAAACACCATGAGTAGCTGGGTGTTGAGGTCCGAAATTGAAAGTCAAACTTTTTATTTGTTTGGTTTTAGCCATATATATATATCTTTTTTTAATTTAAGACGGAGCCTACGATATCCTAGCGTTTTAGGGTGCAGGGTTGGGGCCGCCGGTGGGGGCCCGGCTAACACATGAGGCTAACACAAGGACCAAGCATTTTGCGGACAATTGTGCCTCCCTATTCATCTTCACCCACCCCCACCGAGTTTGTTGTTATTGTGTTCTCCACTTTTTATTTTGAGTAAAAAAAAAAAAAAAAGAAACGAAGAAAAGATGCCCACACTTTCTCACAGGAGGGCGGGGACAACATGCATTATTGAGGTAGCTGAGCTTGCAGGGGTGCCCTGTCTGGGCTTATGGGAGTAATGGTAGGTGAATAGTGAAAGGTAAAAAAGAAAAAAAAGCAAAAAAGAAAGGAAAGACAAACTGTAAAACACCCACTTCTTTTCCTTTGGCTGAATGGTCGACACAGACCCACTGCTTTTCCTTTGGCTGAATGGTAGACACATGCCCACTGCTTTCCATTTGGCTAGCTATGCGTGCAGGGGTACCCTGTCTGGGCTTATAGGAGTAATGGTAGGTATATAGTGAAAGGTGAAAAAAAAAAAAAGTCAAAAAAAAAAGAAAGACCCACTGCTTTCCCTTTGGTAATGGTAGACGCCTGTCAGTACACAGCTGGCAGGTTTGAATCCTGAGCAAATCATCAGAGGACGACTTTTTTTTTTTTTTTTTTTTTTTTTTTTNCTATCTATCTATCTATCTATCTATCTATCTATCTATCTATCTATCTATCTATCTATCTATCTATCTATCTATCTATCTATCTATCTATCTATCTAGGTGCTTGGAGTGGCGCGGTCGGTAGATGCTTTGAGTGGCTCGGTAGGTAGGAGCTTGGAATGGCTTGGTGTGTAGGGGCTTCTTGTATGTGTGTCTGTCTATGTGTCTGTGTTTGTGTGTGTGTGTATGTACGTCCGTGTGTGTGTGTGTGTCTCTCTCTCTATGTGTCTGTGTATGTGTGTGTGTGCCCCCGTGGGAACGCGATGAAAAAGAAAAGAAAGCGGGAAAGCGAACATTAGGAGCACGACGAAAAAGAAAAGAAAGCGGGAAAACGAAAAAAGAAAAGAAGCGAGCAGCGGGAACGTGAGGGGCTGCCTACACCGGAACTGACAAAACCAAAAAAAATGGAAAGTGGGAGCGCGACGAAAAAGAAAAGAAAGCGGGAAAGCGAAAAAATAAAAGAAGTGAGCAGCGGGAACGTGATAGGCTGCCTGCATCGGAACTGATCAAACGAAAAAAAAAAAAGGACGCGAAGCGGGGATGATGGTCACTACAGCGGCCAAAAATGGGAAAGCGGCGCCGAAAGCGACGAAAAAAAAAAAAAGGGGGGAAATGAGGGGGAAATGAGGGCGTGGGCGTGGGTGCGTGGGTCTGGATAGTTGTTGCTGCGGCGGGGGACGGCGGCCAAAAACGAGACAGCGGCGCTGAAAGCGACGGAACCCAAAAAAAAAAGGGGGAAATGTGGGCGTGGGCGTGGGTGCGTGGGTCTGGATAGTTGCTGCTGCGGCGGGGGACGATGGCCGCTGCAGCGACCGAAAAGAGGAAAACGACGCCGAAAGCGAAGGAACAAAAAAATAAAAGGAAAATGTGGCCAGGGGCGTGGGCGTGGGCGTTGGTGCATGGGTGCGTGGGTGTGGATGACTGCTGTTGCGGCTGCCTGCGCCGCCTTGATGCCTTTTGCCGCTAACGGGAGCAAGAAAAGTGGGATAGCGGCG